TTTTCCTTTTTTTTATTCAAACAGCTTTACTTTTCAAATGTGTTTCATCGTGTGCCATCACTATAAGGGATTAGAGTATACTAAACTTTACACATTATATAAGCTACACTAACTATTTGTTCAACTATTATACATGATGTATGTTTTTTGAGGAGTGGTTAATGAAAGCTTTCCAAAACGCAATATTAATTTCTTGACGACCTAATATATACTCTATATTACTTTTATTATTGTTTTGTTAACTGATTATGTCCAAGTGACCAGAAATAGAAGTTGTCATATTTTCTTTGTAGTATCTAATGTGCATTACTGTCTACTTATCCATAACTAAATTTTCTTCACATTTCAATTTATTACTCTATGTAGCTGAGTAAACCTATGTGGTAAAGCTTACGTGAAATTGTGTATAGGCTTTATTCCATCTTTTAAGAGACAAAAGTATTTAGTGAAGGTTTATTTTTTACTGTTGTATGGTCCAGTTTTCAAGACAAATATATGTGTTTTAACATACAAAATAATTATGATGGGCTTAGTCAGACAGATCAAGTTTTGTTTGAGTTTCATTGAAGTTACCCAGTTTCACCCTGTACCCTACATATTAATTATTTTTCATAATCAAGACAAGTTACATTTTTAAATGAGTATCCTTGTCCACATCATTGATATTAAATACATTTTTATTGGAGGTGAACAGTCAAAACATCACTGTAAAACAAAAAACTACATCTCAATTCTAAGAACCTGTGTGTGAAAGCAATTGAAAATATGTAATAATATGTCAACCACACTACATCTGTTTTATCCAGTGCCAACAGGTTCTTTCATCCAATACCAAATGTGTGAATAGTAAACTACGCATTTAAAAAAACCCCTTTAGAATGAGAAAAGGAGTAATAGTGTGTCATGTTAGTCAACAGAGAATCGTTTCATAGGTAGAATATTCAGTTAGAAATATTAAATAAAATAATAGTACATATATATAGATTACTTCATGTAAACTGAAATAATCATAAAACATAAGTTTATAACATTATAAAACCCAAATCAACATGAATAATATGAAAGCCATATACTGGTTGTTTTTTATTAATTTACAGAAAATCAACATTCTAAATTTATAGTTAGTTTGGTATAACACTTAATGACTAGCATGTTGCTGACTATTGTAGTTTTTGTTTATGTATCTTTTAATGTTCAGAAAATTGAAATAATGTAAGCAGTTGATCATTGGATCATCAACATAATGAATTTCATATATGTATACACATTTAAGTATTAGTATATATATATATATATATATATAGAAAATGAATTTCATATATGTACACACATTTCAATATTAGAAAATATATATATATATATTGTAAATGTATAGTAAATGAACTTCATATATGTACACACATTTCAATATTAGAAAATATATATATATATATTGTAAATGTATAGTAAATGAACTTCATATATGTACA